TTTGAGTTCAACATGTGAGAAGTAGAAAGTACAGGTATTTGTGTTCAACATGTAAGAAGTAGAAAGTACAGGTATTTGAGTTCAACATGTGAGAAGTAGAAAGTACAGGTATTTGTGTTCAACATGTAAGAAGTAGAAAGTACAGGTATTTGAGTTCAACATGTAAGAAGTAGAAAGTACAGGTATTTGTGTTCAACATGTGAGAAGTAGAAAGTACAGGTATTTGAGTTCAACATGTGAGAAGTAGAAAGTACAGGTATTTGTGTTCAACATGTAAGAAGTAGAAAGTACAGGTATTTGAGTTCAACATGTAAGAAGTAGAAAGTACAGGTATTTGTGTTCAACATGTGAGAAGTAGAAAGTACAGGTATTTGTGTTCAACATGTAAGAAGTAGAAAGTACAGGTATTTGAGTTCAACATGTAAGAAGTAGAAAGTACAGGTATTTGTGTTCAACATGTAAGAAGTAGAAAGTACAGGTATTTGTGTTCAACATGTAAGAAGTAGAAAGTACAGGTATTTGTGTTCAACATGTAAGAAGTAGAAAGTACAGGTATTTGAGTTCAACATGTAAGAAGTAGAAAGTACAGGTATTTGTGTTCAACATGTAAGAAGTAGAAAGTACAGGTATTTGAGTTCAACATGTAAGAAGTAGAAAGTACAGGTATTTGAGTTCAACATGTGAGAAGTAGAAAGTACAGGTATTTGAGTTCAACATGTAAGAAGTAAAAGTACAGGTATTTGGGTTCAACATGTAAGAAGTAGAAAGTACAGGTATTTGAGTTCAACATGTAAGAAGTAGAAAGTACAGGTATTTGTGTTCAACATGTGAGAAGTAGAAAGTACAGGTATTTGTGTTCAACATGTAAGAAGTAGAAAGTACAGGTATTTGAGTTCAACATGTAAGAAGTAGAAAGTACAGGTATTTGTGTTCAACATGTAAGAAGTAGAAAGTACAGGTATTTGTGTTCAACATGTAAGAAGTAGAAAGTACAGGTATTTGTGTTCAACATGTAAGAAGTAGAAAGTACAGGTATTTGAGTTCAACATGTAAGAAGTAGAAAGTACAGGTATTTGTGTTCAACATGTAAGAAGTAGAAAGTACAGGTATTTGAGTTCAACATGTAAGAAGTAGAAAGTACAGGTATTTGAGTTCAACATGTGAGAAGTAGAAAGTACAGGTATTTGAGTTCAACATGTAAGAAGTAAAAGTACAAAGTTGTCAGAAAATTGGAGTAAAGTACTGATACCAGAAAAATGTACTTAAGTACAGTAACAAAGTATTTGTACTCCACTCCTTCCCACCTCTGGAAATGGTGTTTCCTTCCTCTCTCCTGACCTCACTGCTCTTTGTTCTTTGGCATACATCACCCTAAAACACCTCCATGGGACACCTTCCTCCAGGTGTTACAGCATATTGTCTGATACACCTGTTTCCTAGTGTTACATGCAGGGCAGTGTGTCAGTTTGGCTTCAGTTCGGCGTCAGTTCGGCTTCAGTGTTCGGCATCAGTTTGGCGTCACTCTGCTTACACTCGCCAGTCGCCACAGGCTTTATGGCCATGATTCTCTTTCATATTCTGGCTATGAATACAAGAGCTGTCGTCGACTATAGGCAGGCTCAAAGAGGGAAATATGACACTAAAGTACTGCAGCAGCCTTGAGTGAGGTGCGCCCATACTCTGAAGGTCATTCAGTAATAACACAGCAGGTTTCAGGATGGCTCTTTCCCACTCACTCTTTCTCCATTCTTACCTTTCACAATAAAACCCCTTGACTCTGCATCGCTGCTGACAATCTCTGAGAATCAACTCGACAAATACAGTTTTGCTCGCAAGGATTGATTCTGTTATAAGCAGCCGTGACATGCAAGATTTAAATGTGTAGAGAGGATATTAAAATGTATGAATATGGTACAATAATTCACTCTGGTTGTTTTATGGCCTCTTTTCAATGTTTTGTGAGTAAATGAGGATATTAATTTTAAGCTCCGTCATTACTTTTGGTTTATGTTTTAGGTTTTTGCCGCAGTATTGAATTTGGTATTGATATATCGAGATAAGATAAGATAGGACTTGTTGTGCCAGAGTTACAAAGACACAACAAACAAAGCAGCATAATAATAAAACTGTCATGACCCAAAAATATTTACCAAACCTTAGATTGATGTACCTTTGCACTCCTGTCATTGTGATATAAAACCTTGAGATGTTCGACTGCAGATCTCTCACAACAGGCTTTATTTTCATGTTGAGCAGTGAGAATGAAAACATGAGCACAACTTTTCCAAATACTCCCAATTCCCTAATCCATTAAATGTGGCACACTTCCAGATGTGGAGCAGCGCCCCCCCCTCAAAGTGTTCATGGAGATGAATTAAATCAGGGAGTCAGAGGGTAAAGTGTTGGATGGGGATGTTGGGGGAGGGGAGCTCTGGAGAGGATGAATTAGTTCTGCCCGGAGAGACGTTTTCTAGGGTGTTTAGTGCCAATGGTGCAGTGTTGCAATCCATTGGGTGGGACTTCAGCTCCATAGAAAATACCCACAATGCAGTGCTTACTATGATCGCTGACCAGAAGTAACACCACTACATCCCATTGGAGAAGTGAAAGCCATTACTCTAGACTGTCTTGTATTCATAATAACACAACAAGAAATTCCCCTCAGATGATCAGATGTTAGGACCTTTACAGATGCATGCAGCAAAGCAACAACATATAACATTTTAACAGATTAAGAGACACAAGGAGGTAAAAGGTTTGATCTGAAATACAATAAAATAAATATTGATGAAGTCTTGAAGACACAAGACTGAGTGAATCGATGCAACAATATGAAACCCTATCAAAGAGTAAACATATAGGTACAGCAAAAATAAAAAGATAATAGTAACAAAAACCTCAATTTTAATAAATTGAACAATTATCCTCTATTAAACGATTGAAACCAATGTAAAGGAAATGTTGCTATTAAAACTGTTAAATATGACTGATTAGAAGAATGCCTCGCCTTAGATAACCTTATATAGAAATTAAATATATTACAGGCGAGCTGACAGACAGAGTGTGAAGGCCGAGGAGCACCACTCTGTGCAGATATCTGCTGCTGAGAGGAGTCAGCCAATCACAGGCCGTGTTCAAATGAAATGAGATGCTATTTTTAACCAATGGAACCCAGGGGTTATTTCTAAATGTAATTTTCAATCTTTTAATTTACAGACACGTGGAATACCCAATATGTATAGATAGATGGATGGATATGTAGGTGTGTGTGTAGGTGTGTGTGTGTAGGTGTGTAGGTGTGTGTGTAGGTGTGTAGGTGTGTGGGTAGGTGTGTGTGTGTATGTGGGTAGGTGTGTGTGTGTATGTGGGTAGGTGTGTGTGTGTGTATGTGGGTAGGTGTGTGTGTATGTGGGTGTGTGTAGGTGTGTGTGTAGGTGTGTGTGTGTGTGTGTGTGTGTAGGTAGGTAGGTAGGTAGGTAGGTAGGTAGGTAGGTAGGTAGGTAGGTAGGTAGGTAGGTAGGTAGGTAGGTAGGTAGGTAGGTAGGTAGGTAGGTAGGTAGGTAGGTAGGTAGGTAGGTAGGTAGGTAGGTAGGTAGGTAGGTAGGTAGGTAGGTAGGTGGGTGGGTGGGTAGGTAGGTAGGTAGGTGGGTAGGTAGGTGGATGGATAGATGGATCCCTAACCCTAACAAAACAAGTCAATGTACACAAGAGAAATTAAGACACAAGAAATAAACAGTCCAAAATATTTCTGAAATAGAAATAAAATAGCATTAAAAGTTAAAGAAAAAAAATATATACGTGGATGTGGAAAATATATATACAACTTTCCAGTAACAAATATAATGCAGGATATTATAGTGCAAGAAATTGATTATTAAATATTAAATTGAATATTAGGGTCAACATGTACAGTTTAAGTCCAGTTATTAAGAGACGCTATAACAGTTACGTTTGATACTAGTATGCAGGTTTGAATATTTTATATATATCCATATATTCCCCCTGTGTTGGTAGTGTTACAGTTTGGTGGTCTGGAGAAAGATGTGTAGTTTTATGAGAACATGACCTTGCCTGAACTGTTAATGCACTCTGACAGTTGCACTCCGTTAAGAGGACATTTGCACGCCGCTCTGGGCTGCAGGAACGTATGAAGACATTAGCCATGTTAACATGATAATTATCCTCCATCTGCTCCGGTCTGAGCGTCTGTTCCACCGTTCTGGGTCAGCTCCTTCTCCTCTGGGGGGCTCGCACAGGTGGCAGCAGATTGGGTTTGTGTCTATTATGTAGTCTTTTAATGTAACTCAAGTATTCAAGGCTTTTATTGTCATGTGTACATAGCTGCAGTGTAGTTATATCAATGAAAGTCTGAGGTCACAGGCTCCTCCAACAGTGCAACACAATACAACTGATAAAATAGTGCAAGAAAATACAATAAAATAGAATATAATAACTCTGTCATCTTTGCAATAGCACTCTCTTTCATTTGCTGTATCCCTTTTACTAATCTTCCTATGAATCAGAGCACACTTTTAAGAGTAACATAAAACAGAGAAGAGAGCAGATGATGGGCTGTGCTGCGGATAAATCACTGTTTCATAGGATTTTGTTGAAATTCATGAATGTTTCTGTATAGTCCTGAACACCTGGGGAATAATTATTATTTAATATCGACGACTTTAGATTTAGGATCGAAGCCCTGGCTGTTGTTGCTTAAGCTTCACCAGAACGTTTATTTTACAGATTTCCTCGTAAATGTAACAGCAAGCAGGAAATCCTTCGACTATGTTGGCAACACATCTCTTTTGCTTCAATGTGTAATCATAAATTATTAAACAATAACGTTTTTTTTTACATTTCAGCCAAGTTGAGTCTAGAGACTAACTTGATAACAAGAAATATATCCTGCCTCGTCTTTCTTCTCAATGCACAGTTCGTGGAGTATATGTGTATTGCCTGAATGAATGTCACTAATACGAATTATTTGTTTATCTCGCCAGGAAACATCAACATCTTGATGGAGGAAACTAGAGGAGTCCCTTTAAGATGACACGCACAGACCCTCCTGACTTACTGGTATCAACTGTGCATCGAGATATTAAAGTGATCCCCTTTTCTACACACTACAAGTCCTTGCAACCCTCCAAACAATGTGATTCTATAAACTACACACTGGAGGACAGTAAGAGCAAAGTCAATAAGAGGCACTGCCGTACCTTTGACTATAAGTCATTGGAGTACCCAAAATCAAACTCAATGGAGTCCCCTTACAAGAATGCTGATAGGCATGCGGCCAACCCAGATGTTGCCTGGAATGCCTTGGGCCGTCAGCAGAGATACCGCTTCTCTGCTCCGGACATTTTCAGCCATAGGCTACCTCCTCAACCATTGGCTGCAGATATGCCCAGTGAAGTCATTGTCCCTGAACAAAAGAGAAGGACCAGGTCAAGAAGTGCCCCTCGGGTCCAGACCAGTCTCACCCCTGTGTCTTTTGAAGTGTCCTCCTCTTCGGGGAGGAAGGGCAGGGATTCCCAAAGGGCTTCAAGAGATTCTCGCTTGAGGCCAGAAGTATCGCCGCGCAGGGAGTCGTCCCATGCAGCAACTAGGGCTCATATGCATGACGTACATCCCATTAAATTGCAGCCACAAATGGGTGACAGTAGTAGGTACTCACCTCACTATGCTGCTGATAATCCTGAGGGCGGAGGGCTTGATAAACCAGCAACTAGCCCTCATGTCAGGTGCCGGGTGGACATTAAACCAGATGATGCAGCGCTACATAATTCTGGACGGAAACAAGCTACACCTCATGTGGATATACCCTGGCAGAGGCACCACAGTGGGGGGAGTAGGAGTATGACTGTGCCACGCCATTTCTCTTACTCGAGAACAACAACTCCGACTGATTCGTTAGGTCGAGAGGGTAGGCAAGCTTATCAATATTCCCGCAGCATGCCCAATAGTTACTTACAACCCATGGAGAGTCCCTTGCAAAGGACGACTTCGTCAGGTGAATACTATGGTAGGGAACGCAGAGCTCATTCAAGTCCTAATGTGCCAACCAAGTTATTTTATGCAGATGACCCAGGAAGATATGTTGCTTCTGCTCCACCTCAGCCAAGTTCTCGCTTTCATGACGAACGTTACACACCTGGACAAACAAATACTACAAAAGTGCAATATGTGCAAGATCCAAGGACTCGAATGGTGCACGCTGTAGCAACAAGACCCTATTACCCTGAGGTGGAACCCTATCAATACTCTGTGCAGTCCGGGTATCCCAAACCCTACGCACCCAATGAACCAGGGCCATACATCATTCAGACACCTCCAACAAGAATATTTTATGGGGATGATCCAAGGTCTTATCCAATCCAGACAGCTCCACCAAGGTTTTATTATTCCAGCGACATGTACGCAATGCCCCCAGAGCATCATGTCCCAGCAAGGGCGTATTACACCGAGGGCCGAAGACATGCTCGAGTGATTCAGGCACAAACAGATGACTGGTATGGCTCAGATGCTTCTGGTTATTCCACCAACCCTGCCTCGTATGTATCTCAAGTCACTCCAACCAGAGTCCGTCCAGAGCCTGCGCCGGCACCCTGGTACGCCAACCCATGTGTAGAACCTCCAAGAATTGGCACAGAATCAAAATCTTACTCAAGGTCATGGGACAATATTCTCGACTCTCGTGTAGAGCGAGAACAACCTATTCCTGTACAGCGGGGTCAAAGCTATGATGATCTTCTTGACTCCAGGAAGCCTGCAGCAGCCACCGAGGACAAACCGCAACCCGTGGTAGTCAATCTTTCCAGTTCTCCAAGACGTTATGCGGCCTTATCCATGTCTGATAACTCACTCGTTGACAAAAGCCCAACCGAGACATCAAAGGGCAGTACTAGTAAACTCTGGTTTGTAACTCCTGAGATAACAATCACTGATAATGACATGCGACCGGGGAAACTTAATAAGGCTGAAGGACGGTCTGCCAGTTGGGACGTTCTTGACACCAGAAGCACAGAAGATCCAGGACTGTGTCAGCGTGACTTTGAAAGCTCAACCAAAGAGAAGACACACGACAATGCGTCACTACAACAAAGCCTTGAACAACTTGATGAGCTTCTGGCAGATCTTGTAACTGATTACAAGCCACCCAGTAGAAGGGCAAGTGAGGACATTCTTGATCAATTAAAGAAGTTAATTGATGAGGAGGAAGCAGTATCTCTGTCCAGAAAGAGCTCGAGGGCATTTACAAATGAACCACCTCCTCTTGACAAGCAGCCAACGTCAATAAGAATTAATCCTGATTCTTTCCATGACATCGGGGGCAGTGATGCTATGAAGAGTGCAGATGAGTGCTCCCCAGATCAGAGCCCAGATGAGGATGATACAATGATGTGCTCTAATAACAAATGCAGGAGGACAGAGACACTCTTCAATGCTTGCCTGTATTTCAAATCCTGCCACAGCTGCTACACCTACTACTGCTCTCGTAATTGTCGCAGGGAAGACTGGGACATTCATAAAGCAAACTGCTTGTATGGAAGAATGGGAAGCATATGTCGTCACATCATCAAACACTGCCGGGAGACTGTTGAAGTCCACAAAGCCTTCTCCCGTATTGCCAAAGTTGGCTACCTTTCACGAGGTAGAGGAGTTCTTTTCCTTGGTTTTCCAAATCCTGCATCATCAAGTAACTTCCTGCAGTATGGCCTGGATACTCTACCAATGTCTCCTACATACCTATCCCTCCGAGAGCTCGAAAGCTTCAAGGACAACCTAGGGGAGTACTGTAAGGAGCTTCAGGAAGCTGGGAAAGAGTACGACCCTAACGAATGTTTCATCTTGAATGTATCCATTGCCGTTGGTGACCAAATGCCTGAGGGGCCATCACCAAGGAACGAAGCTCCAACCGTCAGAAAATATGCAAAGGTAGCCCTGGCTTCCTTTAGCCCTGAGAGAAAGGTTCACAAGAAAGAGACGGACATGGAAACGCTGATCCTCACTCCACCTCCTGGAACAGCGGATATCGACAAAGAGGGAGAGGAAGGCAGGAAGGCTAGGGAAATCTGTTTTATTAATATACAACGGGAGTTAAGGATCAGAGGGGTTTTCCTACGCCATGAATTCCCACAGGTGTATCAACAGCTCTGTGAGTTTGTGGAAAATAACAGAAGGTTCACACCCACGACCATTTATCCGATTGATAAGAGGACCGGTAAACAGTTCATGTGCATGATAATGGCTGCCTCTGAGCCGCGGACATTGGACTGGGTGGGCACCCCGCATCTCCTCGATGACATCATTTAAGTGCGCCTTTTGTTGTAAATATATATGTATAGAAATACATATATATTGTTACACATATTTATATATCAATCCAATTACAAACGTTTGTAAATAAGTATTTTGTTATCAAAATGATATATATTCATGTCTCCTTGGTCAGTATTATTCTTTTTCAGAATATTTCCTGTCAGGTGCAGAGTGAGTACCGAACATTATTTATTTTAATCTTTTTACCAAGTACATCTTTTTTATCCACCACATGTTATTGATCTGTATCCCGGTCATTTACTGTTACAACACATTCCCATTAGTAGGGGTTACCTGCTGACATGGTATTTCATTTAGCTAATTATTAGCAACAACTGTATGTTTATAATCTTACCCTCTTTATATGAGTCAGTTTCTGTGTGTGAGTATAACATGACTATTTTTCATATGCAACTTTAATGGTATATCATGCAGAAAATATTAAACGTTATTTTCTTAGCCACGTAAATACTTTCTATGCAAAGTTGCTTCATGACTTGAGTACCAGATTCCTGTAGAATGAGTTGTTTCTGTTATATGACATAATATTATACACATCTGTAAAGAAAGTTTTGCTAAAATTGAGATCAAGTGTTGGTGGCAACATAAATCAAAAGAAAATAATGAAAACTGAAAAAAACAGTTGTGCAAAAAAAAGAAAGGCACGAAATCTTATTGTCGCTTAAGTAGAAGTACTATACTCAAAGTTAACGTTTTACTTTAATAGCGTACTCTGGAGAGTTCCCGCTAAACTCGGTGGTTCTGTGGTTCTGCTCTGCAGGATCACTGGAGCGCTGCTGGACTTGAGAGAAACCTCCACAAAGGAAACTGAAATGGTGCCAGTTCAGCCACACAGTAGGTGTTGGCCTGTGTTCAGTTTTAAACACTGTGAATAGTGAGAGTTATAAAAATAAGAGATCATGCAATTTCCTATAACACTGATGTTATGGCGAGTTGTATTTTTTAGATATGTTTACAAATAAAAAATATATGAATTAGCAAAAGGAGTTATTGTCCTTAGAACAAGGTGAGCCAGATGTGGCCCAGTAGCTATATGGTGCATAAATGCTTGAAAAAGACATTAGTTGTGTATTTGTGCTGCACTAGGTTTATGACGTGTGATTTATATTGTCCCTTTTGGGTTTAGCAAATGAGAACCTGTGCATTTCTCATTGGTTGCAGACGTTTTAGAAAGATTTATAAATGAAACTTAGCCGTGTTGCCTCATCTAAAGACATAATACATTTCTTAATTTTGTTTTGGTAGCATCCTCAATCCCTTATTTCCTTCCAGCACACCGATGAGGGCTTGAATCTTACAGTTCTTTGATCAGTGTTTCACTATCGGCGATCAATAAAAAGCGATCCCCCATAGTAAACACTTTACTCTGTTGTCAAAGAACCGTGGTTACGTTAAAGGTGGGGTAGGTAATTCCCTTCAGAAACACTTGTTATATTCCATGGAATGCTCTTAACATCCCGATTGCAATGAATACATTAAATGCTTTGACAATAAATACCTAAAAAAATATCTTATCAGTGGAAGCCGTGGCGCTGTAAAAAGCACGACCAATCATCTGAGCCGGCCCGGCTAAAGTAACTGGATGGCCTACCTGCCTGTCAGCCTTCCATCTGGGCACAAACTTATCTCGTGCCCTCATTGGTCATGTGCGCGTCCGTGTGTGTTGGAGGAGGGGCTCTGTAAGGAAGTCTGAAGGAAAAGGCAGATTTTTTCCGGTTGTGTACTTTCAAATTCTAGCACACTCGAGCTGGTTTCTCCAGTCTTTACGGCCCGTCCACACGTTCACTTTGAATGGGGTGACGTCACGCTTTGCCGAACTGCATTGTGGGAGCGTCGTTTCGCTTTGCTGGCGTTGCTCGCTTCAAAAGTTGAGCAATGTTCAACTTTTGAAGCTTCGACGGAAGCGTCAGCCAATCAAATCATATGCCAGTACAAGCTCTAGCCAATCAAACCGCGTGCTTGTGTGTCCGGGGCGGGAGACTCATGTGATTGGTTGTTGGTCGAGCTTCAGACACGCCCGCCGGCAAGCTTCAACAAACGCCGCCGTGTGGACGCTGCGTTACCTACCCTACCTTTAAGTAACCCAAAGTTTTTTTTTAAACTCAACATTGAGGCTGGAAAAATATTGTATGCTAATATCCAAAATGTTTAAAAAATGCTTTGAGCCCATTTACAAATGACAACATATCTGGAAGACATGACGAAGCATTAGTAAATAACTCCTCAGTAAAGTTTAAATAAGCTGTTTTCTCCCGGTCATTAACCATTGTTCTCCATTTCAACTTCTTCCCTTGTGATATCCTGATCATTTGTAAGAGCAGTGAAACTTAAGTTAAGAAGTACATATATATTTGAGAATCTGTTTCACTGAGATGTGACTGATGTGCTACAGGTGCTGGCTGCATGTGACTGTTTTCTATCTCATTTAACATGCCATTGATGATAGTAACTTGCTCGATGAATGGACTTGTGAAAGTGAAACTGCTATGCTGTGTAAGAAAAAATAAATGAATTTTCCCTTTTTGTCAGTCATACGAGTTTAAAATTAGGTGTTTGAAGCAACGGAGAAGAGACCTCACTAAAATGTCTAGAAATCCTCAACTCTTGTATTTTTTATACTTTACATATGTGTCTGAGTGTGTCTATTTATAAAACATATCTAATAAATGGAATGGGAACTCTGGGCGCTGCTGTCTGTTCTTCAATCTGTCCAATATGAGACATGTCTTTCATTTTCAGATCAGTACCTACGTGCTATGAACAGGACAATGTCACAGGATGATATGAAATGAAGATGTTTGATTTGTTGATGCCAAGCGAAAGCTAATGTGCACGTGTTGCAAAGATGAAAACCATTTACTGATTAAATGTTTTATCAACTCACGGACAAAGGTAACCAATCGTAATTGAGTATGGTTTAAAGATAAACAAAGACACTCTTATATTTGAAAGATATGCTTGATTGTAGTTATATCCGTTTTACAAGTAAATGTCCAAAGTTGACATGAAATATCACCAGATCACTTAACGACCTGGAAGCAGAAAAGGAGTGAGTCCAGATGACATAAAGGATATATTCAAACCCTCAAAGTAAAGAAATGGCTTTAGGTTTTGAGAAAAAGAACGGACAAACGAAGCTCAGCGTAAGTTCAACCAGGAAGACCATCTTTACTCTTCATTTACTATTCCCATGTAACTACTCTTTCCTCTCCAGGGGCGGTTCTAGGGGGGGCAGGGGGGCCCAGTGCCCCCTAACACTGACTTTGTGGCCCCCCTGAAAATGAAAAGAAAAGAAAAAAAGTTTATGATTAAACGATTTCTTGGCTGACGGAATAGGCGTAACTAACGCTATTTGTCATTCTAGTCGGACCCATTAGAGCAGGGGTCTCCAACACGTCGATCGCGAGCTACCGGTAGCTCGCAAGCCCTCGATAAGTAGCTCGCCAAGCAAATCCAAAATGTAATAATACACACAAAAAAGGGAATGTAATTAAAAGAATCTACCCTATGCATAAACAAAACCTCAATCATAGCGAACTCTATCTACTTACTACAACTCTATATCCATCTAACACCCCTCCTCCCCCACCCCCACAATGAATATCGACCAATCACGTTCTTGCAACAGTTTAAAAGGGGAGTGATTAGTAAAATATGCATAAATAAAAAGAAAGAAGGCTAACTATAGGTAAGATAAGAATACACCACTTTAAATGATTTGTTATTGGTTGTGATCATATTCTAAAGATGTTTGGATTATTGAAAAGTATACAGCCCCCTTTCATGAGTGTTGAGAGCTGTATCCAGAAATTCATGTTGTGCTCAAAGTGCACCAGATTGATGCATTTCACTTCAACATTTAAAAAAAATATTTCGCGGGGAACATGCCCCCGGACCCCCCTAGAGGAGGTGAGGTCCACCCCCAAATAATGCAGGTTAAAATAATTAAATTGCATACATTTTCTTTTAGTAAACACTGAAAACGGGTCCCACAGACCCAAACAGCACACAAAGTATAATGTTAAAATGTGCTAAATATATACACTGCAAAAAACAAAAAAAAGAGGAGTAAAAGTAGCTCACTACTTGTTTTATTTTTTGAAAGTAGCTCTCGTCCTAAAAAAGGTTGGAGACCCCTGCATTAGAGCGTAAAAACTGTAACTATAAGTATCTGAAATAAATATGTGTACTGAAACAAATACCAATAACTGTATTGCATTGTTTTCTTATGCACAATTACTTCATTCTGTCTTTGTCTTTTTCGTCCTGCATTTATTGTGCCCCCCTCAGAAAATAACTGATCCCCCCAGTCAAATTGGTCTAGAACCGCCACTGCTCCTCTCAATAAGTGATCAGGGGCGTCACTCTCCAGCTTAACCAATCACTTCGCTCTATTCCCAAGAGCCTATCATAGTGCTCCGCTAAACCTTTTAAGTCTGCTCTCTACGCGACCCTCCTCCACCCCTTTCACCTCCTGAATCTGAAACCTCCTCTGAATCCAGGCTCAAGCTCCTCCCCTTCAGACCGACCCAACTATCCATTCACCACCACCAGGGTCAAGTTAAGCCCCTCCCCTTCAGACCGATCCAACTATCCATTCACCACCACCAGGGTCAAGCTAAGCCCCTCCCCTTCAGACCGACCCAACTATCCATTCACCCACCACCAGGGTCAAACTAAGCCCCTCCCCTTCAGACCGACCCAACTATCCATTCACCACCACCAGGGTCAAGTTAAGCCCCTCCCCTTCAGACCGACCACAACTATCCATTCACCACCACCAGGGTCAAGCTAAGCCCCTCCCCTTCAGACCGACCCAACTATCCATTCACCACCACCAGGGTCAAGCTAAGCTCCTCCCCTTCAGACCGACCCAACTATCCATTCACCACCACCAGGGTCAAGCTAAGCTCCTCCCCTTCAGACCGACCCAACTACCCATTCACCACCACCAGTGTCTAGACCCCATGCAGGGGGGTTTCATCGGATCGGGTCTCCCCTGATACTCCTGCACAACAGGGCCTAATCGCCAAAATCACCATTACATTAATGTATCTCTGCAATAAATATGTATTCTTACATCAAAACCGTCTCTCCTGATTGACACGAGGTTAATAAACTCTCATCTCAGACACATGGCCGGAAACAAGTGAGCATCTGTATTCCTCCTCCAGTGAGAAAGAGGAGATGGAAACACTTTTAGAGGGGTTCAGTGGTGAGCAACTTCCCTCAGATCTACCACAAAACCTCAATACACAGCCTGAGTAGCTGTATATTTCCTAGAAGTATTTAACATTTTAAGAGTGTGTTACGTTCTACGAGACTTGGGACTACAGAGTTAATGTTCTTTATTTAATTGAGCGTTTAACATTTTAGGATGAAGTGCAGCTCTGTCAAACAGTGAGCACATATATTCTGTTTTCTTATTTCCAGGATTTGCTTTGTCTTCCAGTTTGCTGTCACTGAGCCTGTTCTTGATTTATGATCTGTCTCTTATTTCTATCTGTGACCTAGAGATTAAATGCCTTTTTATAATCTGTTCTTCTAGCTTTGAGTGTATTCTCTTCAAATGGTCTTTCTTCACATTGTGTTAAAGTTGTCACAGTGAGAGGGGGCAGCTGACATTGGGGATCTTTTCTGGGCTCAGCTCTTGGCTTTGGAGGGTTTTGGCATTCTGGATTAAAGGGGGTTAAAAATGAGGGCTCTCCTTTGAACATTAATTATAACTGGCTATCTGCCTAATTCTTCTCTACATGCATTTTTCTTTGTGTTTTTCTGTAAAAGCGTAAAATATGTCTGCAGGATTCTGCCTGATGTTTGTTCCAGCAGGTACAGCTATGAAGACTGAGTGGAGCTAATACTTCACTACCATACAGCTTAAATGGCTGGATAACGATACCAAGTATTAATTGGAATTTGTAAATTACAAGATATTTTCTTTTGATTGCATTCGGCGCCCTTCAAGCATTTTTCCTTCAATGCATCCAGTGCCATGATGAAACTTCCTGATGTTGTTCATTTTAAACCAAGGTACGTATAGCTCATATATTCAAGTATGGTTGATATGGATCACCGGGGTCTCTATCTTTCTGTCAGCCCCTCTCAGACAAAACTAAAATGGCATACATAAGCATAAAAACAGAGTTCAAAATAAAAAAGGGCAGGTCAGTCTGGCTCTGAGGCCGACTTTGACTAGAGTTCAGATTTCATAAATGTATTGGAGATTTAGGGAATATTTAAAGAGCATTGGTGCAAACAATTTAATAATTGTTCACACTAAAGTACCTACTTGAAGTAAATATGGAAAATATAAATAAATTAAGTGTTTTTGTAATAAAAAAAAGTGTGTGTGTGTGTGTGTGTGTGTGTGTGTGGTCTAGCATTACTATACTTGTGGGGACCTAAATCTGTTTACACAGTCACGTGTGGGGACTCGTCTCCCTTATGGGGACAAATTGGAGGTCCCCATGAGGGGAGTCATACATTTTAGGGTGAAGACTTGGTTAGGGTTAGGCATGTGTTGGTTATGGTTAAGGTTAGGATAAGTCTCCAGGAAATGCATGTAGGTCAATGTAATGTCCCCTGAAGTGATGTATACATGGTATATGTGTGTGTGTGTGCGCATGTTTGTGAGGGATGGAGCCTCAGATTCTGTCACTGTTGTATTCTCTGACCTCCATCAGTCCTACATCCTTGCGTGCACCACCTTCGATTTCACAATCAATACATCTTTGAACTTCCTCAGGCTGTGTGTGTGTGTGTGTGTGTGTGTGTGTGTGTGTGTGTGTGTGTGTGTGTGTGTGTGTGTGTGTGTGCCAAATGTAGGCCATGCCAGTGAAAGACTGCTGGGCTCAGCATCCTTTGTAATGGATACTATCGCCACCCTGCAAACACTCTGCACAATGAAAGTAGATGATAAAACCCAGCAACATTTTCAATACACTTGTGATTAAAATCTGTCCTACAAAACAATACCCATGGTATGGTTTCAGTCTCACTTAAGAAAAACGTGCCAATTGTGTGACAGGACTCTGCATCCACAGCACTACTTCCTGCAAGTTATGCTTCATTCCTATAGGGACTTATCCCAGCATACTCTGTTGTTAATCAATACCCCATTGTTATGTACACTTCACAACATTATGATTTAAGCTGTACAAAACTGAACCTGCTTCTAAAACCTCTTTCAATATGAATGTCAGTCTTTTCTGCCATCTGCAAAGACACACTGGTGAAGCATCAGTAATGTGTCCTCTGAAAGAACATTATCATCACTCACACACATCACACATAATCCTCTTTACCGCAGATCTTATATAACCTGAGAGGAGCATCGGAGCTGTGGACCACCTGAGGTCACATGTGAGGTGACCGCTATGATGTCTAGTCCATATGTTACTATCAAATGACTATCTGACAAACCTGAGTTATAATGCTAAAGACCACCAGAGGGCAGCTTGTTCAAGGCAATGACCTGAGGAAACTGCAGCTGGTAATAGAAACAAGACTATTTATTTCAATTATTCAGACATAAACTATTATGTTTACACATATACACTATTGTGATTAACTTGATGTGAAGCAATTGTTCCTAAATTAAAACCAAATAACACACTGGAGACAAATAACCATTAACACCACAGACTAGAAGAAGAAGAAGCCTTGTGCTGAGCTATTGGATAGAGGAGGAATAAATAAATAATGTAATTGTGTCTGACAGTTGTACGGCTAAGGCTTAAGATCTGGCAGCTCATCATGTAGAATTGCTATGATCAAATACAGATTCCATACGGCACAATAAGGACATTATAAAACACCATTTATTTTGGGGCTTCGATATTTTTAGCATGGAGACCTTCACGTGCCATTAAGCAACGCTGAAACTAAGACTATTAGGTCATGTGCACAATCAGTATTACTATCACTGTTCGAAATGGGGGGGGAGCCAGGGCGAGCTTGGCTCCCCTAAAGAGGGGGAGAGCTCCCCTGAAGGCCGACTTTGAGATAAATAGAGGGAGCCCAAAAAAATCGTGCATATACACAGATTAGAAATGTTGAGTTTCTGTAAATAAAGGTTCTTGAAATAAATAATAGTTATTGTTCATTACAGTTTCTGAATATTTGTTTTATATTTGTGAATATTTCTGTACTTGGCGGCGCTGCATTCTTTACGCTACTTACGTTGCTATGGAGACGGTGGCGATGCCGGCGCGGTATTTGACATTTTCATGTTGATATTTTTTTAACTCTGGCTTTGTAATAAAAAATATGGTGAAACGAAAACAACCAAGCCTCGCAGCTTTTGGATTCAAAAGCAAAGGAGTCTAAAAATGACAACGTGAATGGAACAACTTTTAGTTGGCCGGCTGTAAGTGGCGTTAGGGTTGAGTTTGACAGCTCCACACAGCGGGCCCTGAAAAATAAAAATAGGGCTCCCCGGAAAGCAAATGGGTAATTTCGAACACTGATTACTATACATTACTACAACACTCAAATTCAACTTGCAAACAAATTAGACCCTTCCTAACTGTCAATGCTGCAAAGTCATACCTGCACTGTTTGATTCTATCCCATATTGAATACTGCTTTACAAACTGGTCGTTTGCTTGTGCCACAACCCTGAAACCAATTGTCAGGTTTGGGGAAAATAGGACTGTAGTTAAAAAATACAAAAAAAGGTTCGTTAACAAAAAGCGAGCTTTATTATAAAAAGCCGAAGGCATGAAAAAAACAAGAAACTAATTAACAGAAACAAAACCGGGGAGCACGACAGACAGGAACAAACTTACATACGGGAACAGGCAGGAGACACGGACAAGCATGGGTGACAGTGACATGAAATGACGACGAACAGACATGGAGCAAAGGGGAAGACAAGACTAAATACACAGAAGGGTAATCACAGGACAAGACACAGCTGGGCAGGGGAGGAGAAACACAAGGGCAACAGTTGAACACACTCAGACAATTAGACACACCAGGGAAACTAACGACAGGGAGGAAAAACACAGGGAGAGGGACCAGACGTTATACAAAGAGGAAAACATTTCAAAACAAAGGTGGAAAACATACATCCAAAACCATGACACCAATAGAACAGCTGTACAAGAGAGCTATCAAGGTGTTTGACAGAAAGCCAAATTCATACCACCACTGTACCATCCTTGAAAAACACGCTGCACTAGGTCAGAAACCAGAGGAGACAGTGAAGTTTACTGCAGACGGACCACTTTGGGACAAAATGTCCTCTCCATTAAAGGCAGCTCGTTGTGGAATAGCCTCCCAACTGAGATACGGGATTGTCCCACTCTCAATAGCTTCAAAGGTCAACTCAAAGAATGGATGAGAAACAAACAGATGTGCAATCACCGCTAAATGCACTTTAATACAGGGGTATCTCCTCTTGCACTTTGGGTAGCTCTTGTATCTTCTCTTGCACTTTATATGTCTTTGCTGCTATATTTTACTGCCATGTGGTAAATACTTGTGCTGCTCTTGCTCTTTTGCACCTTTTGCATATCATGTATTTTGTTTTTGCTATGTTTGTAAAATGTAATTTTCTTAAATGTTTTGTGTGGGACTGCGGATGGAAATGAGCTCAAAGCTAAATCTGGCACTGTTACGCTTGACACATTTTAAGTTTTAAGTGTTCATTACATTGTCCCTGCTAAATAAACTATTAAATAAACAAGACAATGAAGCCGTCCATAAACAGTTCAATGTGTACCAGGCTTCTCCATTGAATAAAGTAGAATATAGAGAGAAATCACCCTCTTCCGTAAATAAGGAAGGAAACCCCCACGACTTTACGGTGACGTCCCTTTCGAAAACAGCAAGCGAGATATACTATGATATTTTCTTTACTGCATCCTTTTTAATAATGTAAAAACAAAACAAACAAAGGCTATGACACCACTGTTGTGCAACAAAACGTATATGCTATTATTATTATTATTATTATTATTACTACTAGCTGCTACTTCTCAGGTTGTCCATTCCAACGAGGATATGTACGTGTTGCTTACCAGAAGTAAAACACAGGATGAGACTTGTTATTGTCAATGAGTCCTTCCACTGGGTGTGAGAAATTGTTCGACTTTTTTATTGCCCAGTAAACAAATGACTATCCTGAGTATTTACACTATGAACAAGAAGCTGTTGGTGATTTCAACACAGAAACAAAAGCTGTGAGCAAGGGCAAAACAATGTCTTTCAGTGTCTCTGTATGTAGCACCACTTATACCAAAGCAAATTCCTCGAACCTACTTGGTAAATAAAATTGATTCTGTACATTTTATGTCATTTTTAACATGCCTGTTTCTATCTAAAAGTGTGATATATTTTTTGTTTACTCCGATCTTTCAACTGTGATTCACACTCCCGTCCAGTAGGTGGCGCTGATGCACCTCTAAGCTGTTTTTCAAACGCCTTTAAGATAAGAAATGGAACCGGAAGTGGTTGCAACTGCTCGGCTGGGCTGAGCATAGCAGTTGTGTTATGATTTCTCTTAATGCGTTATTACTAATGGATGGAGGCCTTTTTACATATGAAGTACGCATGGATAAACGGGGCTGTGTGGACTGTGCTTCCCCTTGTCGGATGTGACTTCTAAAGGTGGGATAAACTAACTGACAGCTCCTCTGGGAGGCTATGATAGCAGCTAACCAGACAGAGCTAGCATAGTGTTAGCATAAACAAGCTAACTCGATACAACCGATGTCAAGTGCCCTGAAATTCGTCATTAAAGATAATAATAATAAGCTTTATGTGTGTAGAACATACACCAGATGCAGCTCAAAGTGCTTTTACAAGGCACATATCACAATTAAAATCTCAAGAGTTTCACATCATGCCAGACGTTAACACCTATTATCATATGCAGCAAAACAACATGATATAACAGTGTAACACTTTACACAGCAGGTAAAAGGTATGATAATATAAGTCAAAACCTATAAAATACCCAAAACAATTCAGTATGAATACCACGTATATAAATTGACCTGACGAGAGTCGTGTCAAATGATCATATAATCATTTAACATCATCATATATTTACTTCCTTTGAGTGCCTTTTACTCTGTTCAATTGTATTTGTATTTGTGTGAAACATAGACAATGGACATGTCAGAAGGGTAAAAGGTGGATTTGCAAATGGATGAGGACTGGAAGGTTTAATGGTGGGAATGTTTAGATAATGTCTAAGATAATTAATGGGTAGGATTACTGCTTTCTTTCTTCTATGATGGGACTGTTAGCTGTCTGCAGAACCTCTGTATCCTCTTGTGGCTCTGTTTTAGTTATATTTGGACTATCTTTATTACTTTTTAAATATAACAAACTTGGTTATGAATAATTGATCAGTTTCTCTTAAGGGAATTCATATTTCCACCACAACTAGCTAATGAGTAGGAGTTTTAAGTTAGCCAGTTAGCATGGTTCAGGCTGGTAAACACAAAAGCCACATTAGCTAACGCCAAACAAGTTAAGCAGCACTATTTCAATCCGCATGTTGTGTAAAGGTGTTTAAGTGTATTACTAGGCATGATTATAAAAAAATAAAAAAACACCTACTCACTGAAGCTAACTGTGAGATTGCCATCATTTTGGAAAAAGGCTTTTCTCAAGTGACAAAGCAAACTTGACACATTTGACATCCGACTGCGATTAGCTTAGCATTAGCTACAGTTAGCACCAGTCCAAGAAGCTTTTTGTTCTTACGTTCACTGGCCTCTTACAAAATGGGAACTAATATATATGAATGTGACGGTATGTTGCTTGTCACCAGAGGTGGGAAGTAACTAAGTACATTTACTCAAGTACTGTACTTAAGTACACTTTTGAGATATTTGTAGTTTACTTGAGTATTTCCATGTTATGCTACTTTGTACTTCTACTCCACTATAATTCAGAGGTAAATCGTGTACTTTTACTCCACTACATGTATTTAATCCCTTTAGTTACTTTACAGATGTGGATGAATGATGTGAAATATAACCAAGTGTTAAATCAGACTTTAGTTCCACCTGGAGTAAATCCACCAGCTACCCTGCAGTATACAAAGTCATTCAAACTAGCTGCACCTTTACCAGCTTTGAGAACACTTTCATGATCAATCATTATAAAACATATCATATATATTATTCTGAAATGGACCAATCTGCACAACGACTACTTTTACTGTCGCTACTTTCACTATATTTTGATGAGAATACTTTTCTACTTTTACTTGAGGAACATTTTGAATGCAGGACTTTTACTGTAACAGAGTATTCCTACACTCTGGTACTTCTACTTTTACTCAAGTACAAGATCTGAGTACTTCTACTTTTACTCAAGTACAAGACCTGAGTACTTCTACTTTTACTCAAGTACAAGACCTGAGTACTTCTACTTTTACTCAAGTACAAGACCTGAGTACTTCTACTTTTACTCAAGTACAAGATCTGAGTACTTCTACTTTTACTGAAGTACACGATCTGAGTACTTTTACTCAAGTACACGATCTGAGTACTTCTACTTTTACTCAAGTACACGATCTGAGTACTTCTACACAAGATCTGAGTACTTCTACTTTTACTCAAGTACACGATCTGAGTACTTCTACTTTTACTCAAGTACAAGATCTGAGTACTTCTACTTTTACTGAAGTACACGATCTGAGTACTTTTACTCAAGTACACGATCTGAGTACTTCTACTTTTACTCAAGTACAAGATCTGAGTACTTCTACTTTTACTCAAGTACAATATCTGAGTACTTCTACTTTTACTGAAGTACACGATCTGAGTACTTTTACTCAAGTACACGATCTGAGTACTTCTACTTTTACTCAAGTACAAGATCTGAGTACTTCTACTTTTACTGAAGTACACGATCTGAGTACTTTTACTCAAGTACACGATCTGAGTACTTCTACTTTTACTCAAGTACACGATCTGAGTACTTCTACACAAGATCTGAGTACTTCTACTTTTACTCAAGTACAAGATCTGAGTACTTCTACTTTTACTCAAGTACAAGATCTGAGTACTTCTACTTTTACTCAAGTACAAGATCTGAGTACTTCTACTTTTACTCAAGTACAAGATCTGAGTACTTCTACTTTTACTCAAGTACACGATCTGAGTACTTCTACACAAGATCTGAGTACTTCTACTTTTACTCAAGTACAAGATCTGAGTACTTCTACTTTTACTCAAGTACAAGATCTGAGTACTTCTACTTTTACTCAAGTACAAGATCTGAGTACTTCTACTTTTACTCAAGTACAAGATCTGAGTACTTCTACTTTTACTCAAGTACACGATCTGAGTACTTCTACTTTTACTCAAGTACAAGATCTGAGTACTTCTACTTTTACTCAAGTACAAGATCTGAGTAGTTTTACTCAAGTACAAGATCTGAGTACTTCTCCCACCTCTGCTTGTCAGTAGGTGTTTCTTGTATGCTTACGTTAGATAAAGTAACTAAAGTATTTGAAGCAGGCTAATATATGACCAAGGGACAGGATTGTTTTGCCCTTGCTCACAGCTTTTGTTTCTGTGTTGAAATCACCAACAGCTTCTTGTTCACAGTGTAAATACTCAGGATAGTCATTTGTTTACTGGGCAATAAAAAAGTCGAAACATGTCTCGCACCCAGTGGAAGGACTCATTGACAATAACAAGTCTCATCCTGTGTTTTACTTCTGGTAAGCAACACAAAACTACTGTATGCTTTTTAAAAGGACTGTCAATGTGTTTTAAAATGTGAGGCTATGTATTATACAATTTTATATCCAAGAAGACAATCATTTAGCGTTTCACTGTGTTGTAGTGACGGGAGTTGCGAGTGAAAAAAAAAGGATGATTCCAATCAAAGCAACAGAATTTGTTAATGGACTGCATTTTGTATAGGTTTGTTGTAAACTTTCTGATTATGGCCGAGTGGCTGCAATTTAAGGTTACGTGTGTTTCCTACTTTGACATGTTGACAGGTGAATCAGGGATTTACCTGTAAGCCCTTCAGTAAATGTACAACCTGCTCTTCACGTCAGCCCTTTGTAAGCCTTTAACCAATGCATCTGTTAAAGATTAGCCTCCTGATGACTTCACAACATCATCAGATTTCGTTGTTGTTCAGATTGAATGAAGCTACTCAAGAGCCACAGAATTATCTGTACCATTTTCAAGTAAAATCAGAGGTGCACCTTTAACAGAAAATCGTCTTAAATGTGTGAACATTTTCAGACCTCATTATATGATCCAGGGATTTTGGAACTGAACCCATAGTGTCATTTAGAGTGAATCTATGAGTGTGTACAACATGATGTCCAAACAGTTTTCGGATCCAAATGACCCCGGGCAGAATGAAAAGCTTTCCTTTATAGAAAGGAGGAGGCATGATATTGTTGTGTAGGGTTATGAAAATGAGTTCAACAGTGAATTAAATGAAAAAGTTGTCGAGAAAGAGAGAAGGAAACCCCGACTCCTTTCTCACATCTGTACAGGAGGGCTCAGATTTGTACAGAAATGACTCCAAAATCAAAGTGATTGTTGAATGAAATAGTCCTACATGCTTGGAACACTGTTGTGCTCCATCAATAAACATCTGAGCTTGCAACCTCTAGCCTGATTAATATCATTACACTATAAACAATTTTTTTGCCACCTGCACAATGTAACCGTGTTATTTCACTCCAATCAGGTACTGGCACTTTTCCTGCCTTGAGGCCGAGTGAATAATCGAGGAGAGGAGATGGAAAAGATGACTGCTCTCCACTTGTCATCGGCTACGACTTCAAGACTCTCCGAGAGGGACTGAAAGGAACAGAAAGCTATCCTCTGGAAGACAGGGTGAGACACAGAGAAGCATCCACAGCGACCAACCACTTGAAGCACAGAGGAGATGGCTTTCCTGGACAACCCGGCCATCATCCTGGCGCACATCAGACAGTCTCATGTGACCAGTGACGACACAGGCATGTGTGAGATGGTACTGATAGACCAGGATGTGGATCTGGAGAAGTGCCAACTGGCTCTGGTGCCGGGAACCAGCTGTGGGTCAACAGGGTCCGAATCACTGAGCGAGGGGGGGAGCAGCGTGGCAGAAAACCACGGCTGTGACCTCTCTCAGTCCATGGACATCACCTCCAGCTGGGACTTTGGCATCCGCCGGCGCTCTAACACAGGTAAGATCATCTGACTGTGGCTGGCAAGGCAAGGTTATTTATAGCACCTTTCAACACAAGGCAATTCAAAGTGCTTTACAAACATGAAAAACATTAAGAGGATTAAGAAACATATTATAAAATGGCATTTAAAAACACTCATTTCAAAGCAAAGATAATGGAGTGCCTCAGTGACCCTAAAACCAGGAAGTAAACTCCTTCCGGTTCCTTCGACAAAAAGCAATGCAATCTCTCCATAGGGTTTTGGAAAATAGCTGGAAATCAGGTCTGTGGTTGAGAGACATTGAAGAGACGGATCACGTTTTGTTCAGCCGGATAATCTCCACATGTCTATCCTACTTTTATCATTTTTGAATCGTAAATCTAGTCGCCAGAAGCAAAATGCTAACGTTATGCTATAAAGGAACTACAGCTGGGTCGCTGCTTCAACGTCACGCCGACTTAAGATCCATATTCAAACATACAGACTCTAAATGGTACGAGTTGAAGCGTTTGTTTGAACAGTCTGCAGGAGGCAGGCACTTGCTTTCAAGCAGAACAGAAACTAACTTAGAGGAGTGTTCACGTGTTCGGCGTAATGACGTAAAACGCCCTCGACAGCTTCTGTAGTCCTATTCAGCCACTTGGTAACAACCATCGTTTTTCAGACACGTAAACTCTTCAGGAATCACCAGTGGGGTCACAGCTGATGGATTTACTGTCGTAGAACAAAACGTGATCAGTCTCTTCAATGTGTCTCAACCACAGACCTTATTTCCAGATATTTCCCAACATCCTATGGAGAGATTGCTTTTTATCGAAGGAACCGAAAGTGGTAAAATGCTAACTTACTTCCGGGTTTTAGGACGCGTCACTGTGGCACTCAGAACATGAATTAAAGTCACAGTGCAGTGTGAGATACACACATCTGAAATGTTTAGCTCTGACTCTCAATCATTGCTAACTTTTTAGCAGAAAGTTTTCTTTAACCTCACTTTCTTTCTACTTTCTTTTTTAACTCGTCCTTTAGTTCTTTCAAGTGTTTCACGCTAAACGAACGCCCCTTTGGAAAATTCGACCCCATGGTACCTTTTAGTATCGCCAAAACTATTCCTCTTTTTTAAAATGCACATTAGTTAAGTTTACCTTGTCTTTCCAGGAGTTGTTTTGGTCAGCAGTGCAGGCTCTCTGTCTCGCACCCCCCTGCACCCCCCCGCACCCCCCCCTGTAATCACCACAGGGACAGAAAGCCTGCTCTGCTCTTCTTTGTTTGAGGGTGTTTGTGTGTCTAATCTGGGCCAGTGGTTTAGTGAGGCCGCTCATGTCAAATTGTGTGCTAATGAAGGTTGTGGAAGCACAAGTGGAACGCATGGGGTTAGATGGTAGTTCACTGTGTGGATTACATTAATCGCTATGAGGTGAGTCGCACAGATCACATGATAAATGACATTGCATTTACCTGATGCTTTTATCCAATGCAACGTACAACAACGCGCAATAAACCATAATGATTCAAACTAAGGACAACAAGAGAAGTGCAGATGTATTCACTTCAAACAAGCAAAACAATTGTAAGTTTGGGTCATACGTTTTTAGTTAAACTCTGAGGGTAGGTCATTTTGGAGAAACCAGCTCGAGTGTGCTAGAATTTGAAAATACACAACCGGAAGAAATCTGCCACTTCCTCACAGAGCCCCTCCTCCAACACACAGGAACGCGCACATGACCAATGAGGGCACGAGGTAAGTTTGTGCCCAGATGGAAGGCTGACAGGCAGGTAGGCCTTCCACAAATGACATTTCTTTATGTATTTATTGTCAAAGCATTTAATATATTCATTGCTATCGGGATGTTAAGAGCATTCCATGGAATATAACAAAAAGTGTTTCTGAAATAAATGACATCCCCCACCTTTAAGTGATACCTTTGACCAGTGGGTTTTCATTTTGTGATGGAAGATGTGTAGATTCTCTGCTTTCCTGATATCAGTGTGTGGCTCGTTCCTTGGAGCCAGGATAGCAAATAAAATGACCCTTTTGATGCGAGTATATCAAGCAGTCAATGACACATAGGTATTCCTTATTATGCCATCAAGTAGACAATCACTGCATATTTTTCTAAACTAGACACAGGGTCGACACCATCAGTAATTGGTTACTCCTGCATCACCTGACGTAAAACTCCTTTAGTAGAGGCGTGCGATGACTTACGAGCAAAGAACTCTGAACAGTTTTCCCCAACAACGCTTACATTGCTTCTAGGTAGTGATATGAACATTTCCTCGATTTAAACATGTGGTTGGAGCTCTTGGTCACTTTGTGCTTGTCCAAAACTATTAAACAATCACTTTTTATTTACCTAATATCAGAAATGATCAATTTGGACATCATACAAGTACGACACCTTCTGTCCTTTGACCGTGAAGGCCAAGTTCTAAGCTTTATCTTTACCTGTTTTAGAAAAAGACGTTTGCTAAGCAGCTTACCTCTCTCAGTCAGATGTATCATCACAGGGGAATATTCTGTGTTGCTTCTATGAGAGCTCATTGCTGCTTTTATCACAGTTTCTTGGTTGCGAGACTCGAGCTTTGGGCGGGTTTATCTGCATTGGTTATCTTCTCAATTTTCCAAGAGGACTTTCTCAGTTTCTGGTAATAACTTCTTCAACCGGATATCTGTCTCATATAAAGTGTTCCCCAAGGTTCAGTTTTAAGTCATTTTGAAGGTGTCTCTTATCTCCTAATGTCTCAAATCTCCTCAATACTTCATGGTTACAAGTCCAACAAATTGCTGCTGTCTTCTTTTGACCAAGTGCTCCAAAGATTTCTTTTTAAAACTGGCTTTCCATCCAAATCAGAATCCATTTCAATATGATTGGTATCATGATCAGGGCTTCAGAGCTTCTGCAGTGTGACGTCCTCAGTTTTGGGTCTCTTGGCGGTTCGATACAGGTAGGGCAGTGGTTCTCAAACCTTTTTCAATAATGTACCCCCTTTAAAAAAAATTCAGCCAAGCACCCCCTGCTCAGCGCAAAAACAATTTGTTAGGGACAAAATGCCTATATAAAGAGGTACTGCACCATCAGTGTCTGATTCATTAAAACAACAACCTTGTAACTGAGAAACACTTAAATGCTACATTTCAAATGTTTACAATCCATCACTAAATTCATGGCAACCCAATTTTAACATCATGCAATAACACTAAGACGACATTAGCTGCATTGAACTGATCTTTTTAATAAGTTGTACCTACAATTTAGTGAAACATGGGCTTGAGCTTCACTGAGGATCTTTGTCATTCTGACAGGGAGGCAAACTGCATTTCCAAACATTTGGACTACCTTTGTTGTAAATGTATTATCTTTTCAATTTACACACGGCATCTACGGCACGTCTGTCCGTCCTGGGAGAGGGATCCCTCCTCTGTTGCTCTCCCTGAGGTTTCTCCCATGTTCCCTTTAAACTGTGGGTTTTCTCTGGAAGTGTTTCCTTGTACGATGTGAGGGTCTAAGGACAGAGGGTCTAAGGACAGAGGGTGTCGTATTGTCATACTGATATTCTGTACACACTGTGAAGTCCACTGAGACAAATGTAACATTTGTGATATTGGGCTATATAAATAAACATTGATTGATTGATATATTACACTTCACGTTTTGAAATATGTGTAATTGTTAATATAAAACCCACACTGCTCAAACTTTTCCTAAAATTGGTATAATTGGTATATTTATTTATTTTGGGGCGTGGGGAATGAAGAGAAAAATATATATGAGCATGGGATTTTGACCCCTCATATAAACATATGCGTAATGCTATACTTTGCGGCCACACGCCGTTGCCAAGCAACGCTTATTGTTTAGGTCCTTTGATAAGCAGGCAGTCATATCATTAGCTAGAACTAGCTAGATCTGATAGATTTGGACATAAACGCGAGTGAAGTCTAACCGGACGCGAGAGAGATCAGATCAGCTGCTGCTGACGGAGAACACGCAGCTCTGCATGATCACAGCTCCCCCGCTGTGACGGACCGTTGAGTGGAGCAAAATACACTAAGAGTTAGACCGAACACACTTAGCTAGTTTATCTACTCTGGAACTAGCTAAACTAGTTATAAATATATTTATTCTTTACTGTCGGGTCACTTATTACAGGTTCAGCGAGCTGCACGAGACTGACGGGCTGTCAGGAGAGGGAGAGGAAAAGAGAGCACCCCGTTTATTTTCCCCATTTTATTATCCAGAATTACTGTAAACTTTTGAATAAAGTAGTTCATCTACTATTAGTAGTTTTTTTAAATACATTAATTATGTGTTTTTTTCATTAACATAAATTAAATCTCACGTACCCCCTGCAGTACTCCAACGTACCCCTAGGGGTCCGCGTACCCCCATTTGATACCACTGAGGTAGGGGACTGCATTTGGGATTTGGGCGACACAAATTCCTGAATTTGTCCAAAACATCTCCTGTAATTTGCATAATCCACATGTTAATAATACAAATAATAATCCTTATATTTGTTATAGCGCTTTTTCAATGACTCTCAAAGCGCTCCTTACAAATACACATTCATATCAGACATCAATCAATCAATCAATGTTTATTTATATAGCCCAATATCACAAATGTTACATTTGTCTCAGTGGACTTTACAGTTTGTACAAAATATCAGTATGACAATACGAAACCCTCTGTCCTTAGACCCTCTGTCCTTAGACCCTCACATCGTACAAGGAAACACTTCCAAAGAAAACCCACAGTTTAAAGGGGAACATGGGAGAAACCTCAGGGAGAGCAACAGAGGAGGGATCCCTCTCCCAGGATGGACAGACGTGCAATAGATGCCGTGTGTAAATTGAAAAGATAATACATTTGCAACATCCAAATGTTTGGAAATGCATGTGTATTTAATAGGAAAATGAATCCACGAGGATATCCATCCAGGACCTATGATCCAGGACCACAGCCACGACTCAAGATCCAGGACAGAGGAGCGCAGGATCATCCATGACTCCGGA